AACAGCAGAGCCAGCAGCAGCAACAGCAGCCGGGAGAAGGCGGGCACAAGCGGCCCGGCTCGGTCTCCTCGTCGTCGTCCAGCAGCGGTGGAGGTGGTGGCGGCGGCGGCGTGAGCGACCCGGAGGGCAAGGAGAAAGGGCAGCCGCAGGCGCGGGGCTCGGCCGACAATCTGGAGCATCTCGGGGTGGAGAACAAAAGCCGGGCTGCCGCAGCCTCGGGTTCGGAGCAGGAGTGGCTGGGCAAGCCCAAGACCGTGCGAGACACTTTGCTGGCCTTGCAGCACAGCAGCCACCCGGTGCCCTACGAGAACAAGTTCAAGAAGGAGCCCGGCTTGGCGGGAGGAAGGTTGCTGGGCTACGACACCAACGGGGCCGTGGCCAAAGCAGGTGAGTGAGGAGCCGGGGGACAGGGCGCGGGCTTGGCCCGGGCGGGGTGGCTGAGGGGGGGCCCTACAAGAAAGGAAGAACAGGCAAAGGCTCCCTTTTCTCGTCCTCCTCCCCCCTCCTCCCCTTGGAAAACCAGGGCACAGCCGCCATTTCGGCCCCACTTCCTGGTGCCTGAAAGCGGCGCCGTTGCTGAGGCGGCGAGCAGCATGCTTTGGCGTGCTGGAAAACGTAACATGGATGAGTCAGGGCGGTTGTTGGTAGAGACAACTGACAGGGTTTTCCTTCCCTAGTGTAGGTCTGGCAGCGCTCTTCTGCGAGGGGAGGGGAGGCGAGGCGAGGCATGCACGCCTCTTAGCCAACAGCAGCAGTAGACATTTTGCTGAGCCGTGGAGCCATAGGCGCCATATCTTCCTGGTATTGTTGATGAGGCTTCAGCAGATCAAACAGAAGTTAGCAGAGTTAGCCAGTGTGCTCCATGTACGTGGGTTGCACATGTAGTGGAGGGACTCAGCTGCTTTTAGCCCGAATGTGTATTTAGTGAGTGGAAGATTACAAGCATGGAAGTGAATACAGTATTTGGCTTACGGCCACCGTGGGAGGGAGGATGGTGCAGTGTAGTCACATTTGAATGCAGCATGTACTGTGGCGTAAGCACTGGCACAGTATGTTCACTTGCCTTGCAGCTGCTGATCTGCAACCCCAGATAAGCTGGAGTTAACTTGGTTTTAAGCTGGTTTTATCCATTTGTATTCAGTGAATAACTTGGCTTAAATCCAACTGCTTGGTGTAGCTGGCTTGCTGACACAAAATGTTGCTTTAGCTGTATATTTTTGTCAAAGTGCCGTGTCTGTTTCTTTATAGGGGCACGTGCTGCAAGGAAGAGAAAGCCTTCTCCAGAGCCAGAAGGTGAAGCTGGACCTCCGAAAATCAATGGAGAGGCTCAGTCCTGGTTGCCAACGTCATCAGAAGGAATGAAAATGCCATCTTTCATGTCGCCGCCACCCCCTACTGCTTCACCTCATTCCAACCGGACCACACCACCTGAGGCAGTCCAGAATGGGCAGTCCCCTATGGCAGCGTTGATTTTAGTTGCAGACAATGCTGGTGGCAACCATGCCTCCAAAGATGCCAACCAGGTTCACTCCACCACCAGGAGGAACAGCAGTAGCCCACCTTCGCCATCCCCTATGAACCAAAGAAGGATGCCCAGGGAGGTGCCAAGTCAAGGGGCCAATCCTGGAGGAATGGAGCCTGTGCACCCCGCCAGCCTCCCAGACTCTTCTCTAGCAGCGAGTGTTCCCTTGTGCTGCACTCTGTGCCATGAGCGCTTGGAGGACACCCACTTTGTGCAGTGCCCCTCTGTCCCATCCCATAAATTTTGCTTCCCTTGCTCCAGACAGAGCATCAAACAGCAAGGAGCCAGTGGTGAGGTCTATTGTCCGAGTGGGGAGAAGTGCCCACTGGTAGGTTCCAACGTCCCTTGGGCCTTCATGCAAGGGGAGATTGCAACCATACTTGCAGGAGATGTGAAAGTGAAAAAAGAGAGAGACTCATGATTTTTCCCATTTTTCACTGCAAAATCACCTTTAACATAAAACTGCTTGAATTGTATATATCTATAAATACCTATAAATATCTATATATATATATTATATATATATATATATATCCAAGACAAGGGAAATGTAGACTTCATAAAACATGGCTGTATAATTTTGATTTCTTTCTCTCTTTTCAAATACATTGTGTTTCTATATTTTTTGAAGATGAAAGGTATGTACTTATAAAAGTTTTCTTTTTTCTTTTGGTTATAGCAACTATTTGTTGTGCTTCCTTAGTGACAGTTACTGTTCAGTGTAGGCTGTGACATGTGCTGCTTTTTTTAGAGAGCACTTGGCAAACCAGAAATGCTTCTAGCTGTAATTGTATGCACTTGTTTTCCCTTACTTCTTTTTAAAGAAAAATGCCAAATACATCTTCTGATGTTGTA